GCAAACCCAACATTCTGTCACCTCTAAGATCCTACACAGCACCTACTCATTCATCACAAGTGCTTCATATCATCCCAGTGACGGGAATTTAATGCCTTTCACAAATCTCTGTTTTCTGAGAGCTGAAAGATAATTAATGGATTTTGAGAGGGCCTGAGAGGACTAACAATGGAACATTTGCATAGAGTGACATTTAGTGCGCAATATTTCACAGAATGAGTACCAGCAAGCCTGAATAACAATCGGAACTGGTAGCAAATACTTTGAAATAGGTTATGAATATTTCCCCCAATAAAATGTGATGAACGTTTAAGGATACATCATCGTGAGCAGCCAGCGATTATGCAACCAAATTTAATAATGCCTCCACTCTGGTATTCAAAGCTTTTTTTTTCTCTCAATACAAATTACCAGGAAGAAGGAAGATGTGTCAGGAATTCTTGCTGCCAACAGCTTTTATAGATGAAGATACATTTCCACGGAAAGATAATCTGGGTACAGGAAAGCAGTGTTTCACGTACCTGTCACTACAGTACTTCCAAGTTGTTCAGTTACATTTATTATTATTAAATGTGTTTCCAGAGCTCCAGCTGAGGTACATGGGTCTCTTCTCCGTTTCACCTCCACAACAATCCTATGAAATGACTTAGGATGAAAGAGTGACTGGCTCAAGGTCACCCAGAAAGATTCATAGCACATTAATTGTTGTAGATTTTCCGGGCTGTATGGCCATGGTCTTGGCATTGTAGGACCTGATGTTTCGCCAGCAGCTGTGACTGGCATCCTCAGAGGTATAACACAGAAAGATGGAGTACTCTCTGTGTCATAGCAGAGTTGGGATTTGAACCTGCCTTGCCTATAGGTAAAGGTAAAGGTTTCCCTTGCTTGAAAACCAGTCGAATCCGACTCTAGGGTTGTGGTGCTCATCTCCGTTTCCAAGCCGAAGAGCCAGCGCTGTCTGAAGATGTTTCCATGGTCATGTGGCCAGCATGACTAGACACCTAGGCGCATGGAACGCTGTTACCTTCCCACCGAAGCGGTACCTATTTATCTACTTGCAATTTCTTGCTTTCGAACTGCTTGGTTGGAGGGAGCTGGGGCCAGAGACGGGAGCTCGCTCCGTCATGCGGCACTCGGGTCTCGAACTGCTGAACTACCTACCTTCCTGCCTGCAGTTCAGCGTCTTAACCACTTGAGCCTATACCAAAAAGCTAACCACAACACTAGCCTGGCTCTCATATGGGACCTACCAATGTGCAGACCGGTTTGTGAACTCTTTTTCAGATCTGAAGAATGAGGCACACAGTGTAAAGTTTAGAGAACTGCGGCCACCTAGATTCGAGTCCTTAGAGACTAAGGTGCTACGGGACTTGAATCTAACTGTTCTACTCAAACCAACATGGCTACCCTCTGAAACTGCAGCCATCTAGTGGCAGAAAATGGCACTGCGGGCAATGTAGAAAATGAGGCAAAATTATCTGAGTTGCATAACTGTAGGGAGGGCCTTGATTTAATACAATGTATATGTAACGGAGGGCTGCAGTGGCTCAGAGGTTAAGACGCTGAGCTTCAGACTGGAAGGTCTGTAGTTCGGCGGTTCAAGACCTGAGTGTCGCATGATGGAGTGCGCTCCCGTCTCTGGCCCCAGCTCCTGCCAACCTAGGAGTTCGAAAGCAAGAGACTGAAAGTAGATAAATAGGTACCGCTTCGGTGGGAAGGTAACAGTGGTCTTTGGACAGCGCTGGCTCTTCGGCTTGAAAACAGAGATGAGCACCGCCTTCTAGAGTCGGATTCGACTAGCTTTCGAACAAAGGAAACCTTTACCTTTATATGTAATTAATAAAACTAGAAAATTAGTATTTAAGGTTGTGTCTGAGCTTTTGAACTGCTGTGATGGCATAAGCTGGCTCTCCCCACCCTCGATATCTGCCCTAGAACTAGAAGGACTGAACTGGAAAGGGGCTTTACTTTTTTGGGATATAAGTAGCGGAATAGCCTTGGCAAGTCCTTGACCTCTTCTGTCATGAGACTAGTTGCTGCGTATCTAAGACAAAATGTGAAAACAAAGCAGCAGCGGGTCCTTCTTAGTTGGGATTTTTTTAATCATTTGCTCAATCATTCTCGAGTTAAGAGTGTCTACTCTGGTGGGCGGGCTTTCTTTTCTTGTACCTCTCCAGAAACCCTTTGATGGCAAAGAGGGAAAAAAACCCCAGCACATCACTAAAGAAAAGCTGCAGGAGCCATATCATGCCACAGGTTTTTCCCCATCTGCTTTGTTTGTTTCCTTATCCAAGTAGAAAGAAACAGAGTTTCCACTCATCCACACATTATGCCAAGGGCACTGTCCCAACTGTAGGAAGAATCACCTCTGCACTGTAGTTAATGCTCTGAACTTTGACAATGTCTCACTATCTAGTCTTGTTCCACCTTGTACCTCTCCATATTTATTTTACACTGGTGAGAGTGTGACCAGGAACTGGAAGGTGACAGTCCACCTTTTATATGATGACCCAGGTTTCCTGGATTGGAGATTGAAAAAAATAGAGGGAGATAAGATACCCTAGACTCTTGAACCTGACCCTTGGATTCCAGCATAAGGGTTACAGGAGAGAGGAGACATTCAGCCACTCTATAGGACCAGTTTGCTCAACTAAGGCCCCGTTCTTACGAGGCAGTTTGGGCCGGGAGCGGGCCGGATTGGAAGCGCAGCAAACGGGCGCGATCCCACGCCAACATCTGCCTGGCGTCGCACTCGCGCCTCCAATTTGGCCCTTCCCCTGATGAAGTGCGTCAAAGATGAACCACCTACCTTCGGTGGTTCATCCGGATGGTCCGCTTCATCCTGGCCGTGGGATCGGCGGCACGTCTTGCCACCGTCGCATCCCTGGCCCCCTGCCGTACTGCGCATGCTCGAACATGCACAGTATGGCAGCCTCCCCCTCCGACTAGTATCTTCCTCCCCGGCATCTGATCGTGCCGGGGAGCAACGGAGCGCAGCAACCAGGATCCGTGGGATCCCGCTGGGGCGTTTCTTTTTTGGCACAGCTTTTAAAAGCCGTGCTTCGCCCCGTCTTTTCCCTGCCGTGTGGCAGGGGCCTAAATGTCACATCATCATCTTCATCATCATCATTATTATTTCGATTTAGTAATCACCCTATCCCAGCTATGCCGGGCTCAGGGCGATGTACAAGAGAAAATAAGTGTAATAGTCATGAGAGTCTGGCCCACAAATCAAGCAGTCACCAAGACTCGCAAAGAAAAAGCTTCCTATGT